TGCAATGTTTTTTGAAACTTTTTTTATATAAAACGATCTCAAAATACAATGGCAACATGTTTTAAGCATTCTTTTATGTTATTCATAAGCAAACCATATGTTTGAGCCAGTAGGTGACGCAGGCTGGTTTACTTTTAACAGCTCCTTCTTGGTTGTGCTTCAGCTTGATCCGCAATACTATTAACATTTAATATAGCGCGGACATTATATTAAAACCAAAAGAAAATGTCGTGTCAGACGAGAACATCGATGTGTGAATATGGCAGTGTACGTATGTTTTAATTACATGGTTGTTTGTAAAGTTAGCGACTCCCCCCGTCTTTCTAAAAAATCAAACATCTTTTCTGTAACACAGATAAATAAAAAGGTTGTAAATTTATTGTTTCTAATCCATTTGCGCATTGAAGGGTCCGGTGTTCGAAACATGATGTTGCCGAATAAGCTTCGTACTTCTACTGTATACACGTTATAAAAATGACAGTCAATTTCATTATTCACTTCAAAGTGCCGGACAGACCCCATGTTGCGGCAAGTTCTGTTTGGCTGGCTACCTTCCCTCTGGTCAGTGTTCAAATGAATGGATGGGTATATTTGACTTTGTCCTGAATGTTTAGCCGATGTGCAAATAATGTGCTTGTTCAAGCTGGAAATTCCAATCGAAATTTTTGTCGCAGCTTTTAAAAACACGTGTATTGGTTTGTATGTAAATAAAATCATTGTATTAGATAATAAACTACCAAGACAACTAAAATTTGAATTTCAAGACTTTATTTAAGAATTTAGAATAAACATAAATAATAATGAGTGACTTATTATCAAAAGTTTAAGACGTTTAATAAAAACAAATTGAGTTCATTTTTAATAGATGATGGTTAATTTAAGCTTTCAGGAGCTTCCTTTTTAGCAGTTAATTATCAAAAATATCATTTATATTTTAGTTAATTGACCGTTTAAACACGTTTTTTGTTTTATATAAATATTGCTGAGTAAAAAAAATCTTTAAAGAAACTTACAATTTAGTTCGCTTTATTTGCGAGCATTTAACAAGGATACCTTATCAGAAACCTTTCAATAACAAAAAATAAATCTCAAACCTAATCAACGAAGAAGTCAAAATTATTTTAAGTTAAAAATATTAAAATAGTTTTAATTTCCGCTAATGACTAAAAATTTGTGAGTGAAATATCTTACTTGTGGGGAAAAATGAATTGAACTTTAGTCAACGATTGCATTCTGGCGAATAATTAGTAGAAATAAATCTCTGTGTAAACAAAATCCTATTAAACAAATCTGCTATATAAGCACAAAAATATTTCAAAAAGTTTTAAGCATTCTTTTATGCTATTCATAAGCAAACCATATGTTTGAGCCAGTAGGTGATGCAGGCTGGTTTACTTTTAACAGCTCCTTCTTGGTTGTGCTTCAGCTTGATCCGAAATACTATTAACATTTAATATAGCGCGGACATTATATTAAAACCAAAAGAAAATGTCGTGTCAGACGAGAACATCGATGTTTCATTCTTAACCGTATCTGTTTTAGGAGGCTCCCAATTTCCCTGGAACTTTAATATTCGTTAGAAATGATCACAGTGATGCTACATGAGAAGCTAAGAGTTTCAATTATTGGAGAACTTTCCTGTTTGGTGGACGAATAACACTTCAAGTCCCATCCATATCTATTAGCTTCTGTTTGCTCATTTAGACCATGAAAGGACATGAAATCACGTACACTGGTGGACGTTTTGAGCTGGGCATTGACGAAGATACGTGTGGTTGGTCGTAGAGAACGATATCAAGGAAACGGTGAACGAATAGTTCTTCTGTCGTCTTGTAACTGGGGTTTCAGAAATTCAAATTATGGACGTTTCGTGACGTTGACACCAAATCGATCGAGTCAGAAGCATAGCCCTCATAATAAGTCTAATAATTCTCTTAACATAGCTCAACATTACATGTTGGATAAACATCTGACTTGTTAGGAAAGTTAAAAGCACTAAAGATTGAAAAATAACTTATATTTACCCCTTTATTGCTAGTGCTTCTTGTTCTTTGGAAATGTGAAAACAATGAGGGCTTCAAAGGATACCCTTGAAAAGTTGTTAGCTGGACTGTTTTGGTCCGAGGATTTTTGAAATCAGAATTGTCTTTAGCAATATAGTTATTGACCAGGACGTCATAACCAGTTCCTTCATCTCAAACATACAAGAGTCATCTTCAGTACGAATCACCCTACTGAGGGAAGATACAAATGGTCTATTTCCTATTTGGATTGCTATCTAACAGTCCACTATATTTCCGAAAATATTAGAAAAGGTGTACTAGAAATGACTTGAAAGTAATTAGCTTATTCAGTCGAGGTGGCCAATCACATGAGATCTTTTTAAAATGCCTCATCATTTTTGAAGAAGAGGTTCGTTTTGAAATATTATGGTATTTTCATTTATGCGACCATTGTTGACCAATGAAAAGGTTCCATAACCATTCACAAGAATCGATATTTTATGTTAAGTAACTAAATATTCATAATACAAAAAGCACCATTTAAAGTTACCAGATACAATTAGATAATGTAGAACGAAGTACACATAGTTTAGGGACTCCATTTAGATTGTCAATAGAAGGGTTAATTAAACTGGTTCACTTCGTTCCAATCTAGACATACAGTGTACTTAATTTTAACGATGTAGTACACATATTTACAAAATATGAATTATTGTTGATTTACTAAAAATTCCGAGAAGAAATATGAAATTGTCAAACTTATGTGGTGTTCACTATCATATCCATCTGCAATTATTACACTAACGAAATAAAACTATAACCTTAGTAACAACTGACAATTATTTTCGTTGATGGAAATAGTCTGTGGGCTTATAAATTATAAAACTAAAACTTGAGCTTCGATACCAGAGGTGAGAAAAGCACAGACAGTTCAATGTGTAGCTTTGCGCTTAACAGCGAGCAAAGGAAAATTTAAAATAGTAACACATGTATTGCTGCTATTTTACACATTAAAAGCAATAATGGAGATACAAGTTCAGATGTTACTCACTTTTGTGATTTAGAAATTTGATCAAAAGTAGTAAAAAAAAAATCTTCAAAATTCTAAACAGAATAACACTTCCAAAAACCATGGCCTTCTGTAAATTCAAATGCAAAGTTCAAGAGAATGAAGCCGAATTTTATTTCAACAAGTAATATAACAAACTGTACAAGTTAAAGAATTAAGAGGGAAAATAACAAGAGGCGTTTAAAGCTTCGAGATGCGTGTTTAGATGAAAAAAAAGGAAATATGTTAAATATAAATGTTTTGAAGGTGTTTCAGTATAAATGTGTATATATGTATGCAATATACTCTAAAAAAGTTTGCTTATACGCCTATTAAAGGTCAATTAGACTATGATTTATTGTATTATTCTCATAGAAGAACTTTAAACTATCGACGGCCACCCAAGGTCAATTTCATTTGACCATTTTTTTCAATCATTTTCAGACTTAAATAACCTTTTATGATGATTAACCATTCAAACGCCTCTAAGCTAATTTGAACTATCCTTTCTGGGTCGTAAAGTTTCCGTGAGCGAGCAAAATGGTTTCCAAATAGAACGAAACAAGGAGTAAGGTCGAACGTAGAAAGAACACGTCGACACATTGATTTTTCCTCCGACTTATTTCGTAACGATTTGTTTATAAGTTTGTCATCGGATATTCACGTAAAGCTCAAATGAGCTGTTTTCGCTACCGTCATTCTTATAACGCAATTACGAGCTTAAAGTATGGAGTGAGTTTTTGTGGTAACGATACGCGAACCAAAGATCCTCAAATCCACAGCTTGCCCATTTCATAACGGTAAACATTGAAGAACTCACAGAGATTTTGAATAGAAAAATGCTAAGAGGAACTACAAAAGTTATTATTTCAGTTAAAACTGCATGATAAGTGAATGTGTAAATCTTGACTTAATTCATTAACGTTATAAGAAACTGAAAATAGGGATATGTTTTAAGTTTCACTATTCTTTTCCCAGGAGGATTAGACATGAGGATTAAACAGATTAGCCTATGAAAGCAGTCTGGTCATAATAATGTCCGTGTTTAATGACCATAGCATTCACAACCTTATACTTTCCTAGGATTTCTGACTAAGTTAGTTGCAAATATATTCATATATATATATATATATATTTAACAACCTTACAGTGACCCTTAAACGTTCATTTTTACCATTAGAGTAACTATTACAATTGTAGAAGACAACTTTACTGTGACTTTCAAACGTTCGTTACACCATAAAGTATTACAATTGTAGAAGACAACTTTACTGTGACTTTCAAACGTTCGTTACACCATAAAGTATTACAATTGTAGAAGACAACTTTACTGTGACTCTCGAACGCTCGTTTACACCATAAACTATTAGAATTGTAAAAGACAACTTTACTGTGACTCTCAAATGTTCGTTTGTACCATTAGACTAACTACTACAATTGTAGAATAAAACTTTGTTGTGACTTATGGACGTTCGATTAAACTAAACCAGTTTAGTTTACATTAAAACAGCTAAAGAAAACTCTTTTTTTTTGTTTTTTGGTTACTACTTCACTTTAATCACTTTCAACCAACGAAATGCGTTTTGATAATATATATATATATATATATATATATATATATGCATATATACAAACTGTCCTTTATCATATCTTACAAAACCCTGTCACCAACTTATTAAATTATTTTAGGGAAATTTAGGGAAAGGAGGGGCAATGGCACAATAAATTTAGTAAGATAATTTTTAATGTTTCTTATGAAATTTTCATGTGTGCAAAAATTTTAAATTATCTTTTAAATAATTAATTTTTATGAGGAAAAGTTATAATTTTAGAAATTTTTGGGGGGTATTTGTTTATCTTGTTTTGCTTTTCAACTGTGATAACTATAAAAAAAAAAGTTTTATATTAGTTGAAACATGTTACGAGTTGTTTTGAATCTTTCTTCAGACTTATGAATGATGACAGTTACCTGAAGAGATCGACTTCATGGTTTTCGTATTATTTCGAATTCGAAGACACATCATCAATACTACGATGAAACTAATAGTCAAAAGTCCCAAGAGAACAGAAAGGCCTGTGAAAAAGCTTGTGACAGACATGCAGTAGCTGTCACTGTTTTTCTGGTTGAGTAAGCGAAGTGCTTTAACATAGTCACTCTCCAAGTCTGACAAATCATCCGGGGCGAGAACGGTGAAAGAACGATACATAGATAACGTTGCATTGTCTTTATTTTCACGATGGCTATTTAGGCTTAACTCAACGTCCCTACGTTTTCTCCCCACGTGGGTTCTGTAACGACCGAATTCACCCAAAAAGGTGTGAAAAGCATTCGCTTTATGTGAACCTTTTGTTGCAGGAGCAGGTGTTGTTCTAAATGGGGGTGGAGGTTGGACTGTAGGGCGCGTACTACGAATTGGAGGACGGGTAGGACGTGTACCTCGAGTTGGAGGACGGGTACGCCGAGTTGGAGGGCGGGTACCTCGAGTTGGAGGACGGGTACGCCGAGTTGGAGGACGGGTACCTCGAGTTGGAGGACGGGTACGCCGAGTTGGAGGGCGGGTACCTCGAGTTGGAGGACGGGTACGCCGAGTTGGAGGGCGGGTACCTCGAGTTGGAGGACGGGTACGCTGAGTTGGAGGACGGGTAAGCCGAGTTGGAGGGCGTGTGGGTAAGATAGGAGGGCGGGTAGGAGGAGGAGGTGTGCGTCTGGTTGTAATAGTCGGAGGAAATTCTGTTCTCCCTCCAGGATTAGTCTCATCTGTTACTTCTGGTTGGCACGAACTGGCACAAGAATTTTTACAAATTTCAACGTTACATGCTATGTAAACATCCATTTTATCTGGAAATTTAAATGCATTGATAAATCCATAGGCGATTATGCTAGCTCCTGTATTCTTAGTCCTTCGGGTTCTATAAAATGATCGAAGTAGCTTTTCTTTTACTGGACAGCCTGACTTATCAGTTAATTGAATACGTCTTGTCTTAGTGTTTTCAAACTCTGGGCTATCATAAGCATAACAGTCCTTGACAAGAAGATCAAATGAACCGTCGTCATCACGTGTGTATATAACAATGGTGAGTGTTTCTCCAATTTTTACAATTCCGTTCACGGGAGGAGCAAAAGGTCCTTCTCCCCTTTGAAGATCCATCCAACAGTCGACATTGTCTCCTGTGAAGAACACTTCCTTAACTTCCAGCATGTCCACAGTGAATGGACGAAAGGTAACAAACTTTTCAATACTTGAAATCCAGCCACACGAGATCTTTCTGGCTACGTCCCAAATCTCTTGAAAGAGTTCGTCATTCTGAAAGATGATGGTGTTATCGAACCCAAATTGGCCCGTACCATCGATATTGTCATTCGCTACAGTTCCGCATCCACTCATTGGAATAACAAATTCATAGGAATTCCTCCCACTCCTGGGGTTGACGTATCTACATTAGCAGTGGTTGAGTGGTGAAACAGGAAAGCAGAAGGGGAGAAAAACAAAAGAAACGAAAGAAAATTGATAGGTAAGTGTTTAGAAGTAGAATGAAAACGGTTTAGACCAATACTTTAATTAAATATTAGTAGTCTATTCACAATTAATATTTTGTTTAGTTTTTGGCTAATTTAGAAAACATTTTATTTGGTTTAGTATTATTTATATCGATGCTTTAGGGCAAAAGTTTCCCTCAATAATTTATTTCAGTTATTTACATAAAATCATTCAATTTGTATCATTGCTTTATTCAAACTTAACCCTTAGCTCAACTAAGCCTTGGTAGTGATTAGTCTGAATACAAACAGATTATATGTTATCGAGCATTTAATTGAAGAATTTAAATCACACATCCAAAACCACTACGAACGTTATTAAGAAAAAAAAAAAATTCTGAAGTGTTAAAAAATCTTATTTTCATGAAAAGAAAATGAGTTTTGGAGAAAATTTTAAAACCAAAACACTGGAAAGGATAATTTTTTATAGAGTTTGAAAGTAGAAAAAGCTTCAAATATAGTAGGTTTATGAAGTTCCATATTCATTAGTTATCAATGTTTTAAATTTTCTTTGAAATTGCAAATAAAATTGAGAAAGCAATAAGGTGCAAAGGAAGTTGTAAAAAATTCAATAGCATACTTTTTAAGTTGGAAAAAATATATAAACGGATTGTATAATTATTCTGGTCTGTTTGCTTAAAAAATAAAAATAATAATTCCTAACTGAATATTACATATTTTAGTAGAGTTTTGTGAAGCTAACCAAAGTAAAATTAATACAGTGCATAATAACTTTAACGTCTTGATTTATAGCTCTAACTTTTCTCAACCGTAATTTTTTCTTTCGAAAGAATATTTAACGTAAACTTTTGGTTGCATTAGAATTATATTTACAGGTAAAATTGACAAGGACAACAAAATATCTGAACGATTTGCTCCTTTTCTTTTAGTTCAAATCCTTACAACTACACCTTTAAAATATTTCTGTCATCAGGGGTAATTTTTTATTGATTATCAACGGGTTTTATGTTTATTATAGCTCCGAGTCTTTACTTCTTTTCTTTGAAGATATCGTTAGGGTCGATTTTTTATAGCTAAGGTAATAATTTAATGTATATGTAGTACAACAAGACCAGATCAGAATCTAGGTTCCAGGTTAAGTCTGCTTGTGCAAACAATCCATTTCTTAACTTATAAATAGATTTATATCCTTTTAGGATATTTCTGAATGTTTAGGTAACTGAATGACACGTAATATTCAATAAACCAATTATAAAGCAATACACGCACGTCTGTAGTGGCTTCAGTTTGTCCTTGATGAAAGTTAGATCATCCATATAGCCTAGTTATTTTGGTTTGAGCCTCTCTGTTTTTTTATATTTAGTTTAAAATCTTACCGGCAGGAAGCAGTGCTGTAATGACCCTTCGAAAAAATGATTCCATTGTAGGGTCTGTCAAACTCAACATGAACCGTCATTCCTGTTTTCTCACACTGCACGTCCAAAGAGGTGATCTGAGGCATCATGGCCGCAGGCGATCGTCCTATATCTAGCTGGCCCCATGTTGCCTAATTAACAAAAATGTTTTGTAGGTTTCCAGAAATTTGATGACACACAAAGTATTTTAAAAATAAAAAGTAAAGTAATCAAAATTGTGAACCTCAATCTATATCTCGTAAGTAGGATTCACGAGAATTGTTGTCCCCAATTAAGATAGACTTTTCTCCAAAGTTGTAGAAGATTCTCGAGAGTGAGAATTAATAATATATGTGTGTACGTAAACACTTAAACTGTATTTTTACGTAAGACTGAAGTTTCTAGAAAACCTTCCCGCGGCTATAAATATAATCATCGCGACGCGCCAAAAAGAGTATCTATTATTAGTTCGCTATAGTCAGTGTGCTGTAAAATTTCGAAAGCTATAACTGTGATTTTTATAACGCTTATCAATCGGAAAACTTAAGATATTTGACCAGGAATATTTATAAATTTCGAACCTTACAAATCGTTTAACTTCAGTGGATTCTCATTTTTACGAAAACATTATTTCAACGGTGGAAAACAGCGTGTGTGGCCAAGGGGACAAAGCTAGTTAGCTTCTCAGCAAATCGTACTTACATCAACTCGTTCATCCTAAACCCTCTATAAGATATCAAGGAAGTTCCAGACTAGAAAGAAAACTTTATATTGTTTGTAAGTTTGTGAAACCTTTGTTTATAAATCATTGTTTGTAATAACTATTTGTAATAATTGTTATTGTAAATTGTATTGTTATGTATATATTAAAACATATTTGTGTTCAAAAAGAAAACTGTGTGTATCAATCTTGTTGGCATATATTACAAACTGACTATATATCGACATTTATTTAAATATTAAATCCAAAGTACAATTTAACTATTAAATCCAAAGTACAATTTAACTATTAGATCCAAAGTACAATTTAACTATTAAATCCAAAGTACAATTTAACTATTAAATCCAAAGTACAATTTAACTATTAAATTTAAATTATTTAACTCGGTTTCGGACTATTCGAAATTCTAATACGTAACACTTGAAATATTGTCAAAGTTAAAAATAGCATATTGAGCAAATGTACACCCAGGAAGAGATGTATACTTCTGCCAAGCCTTTATTTGTTGTCACCCCCCCCCCCCAATGGCACAGCGGTATGTCTGTGGACTTACAAAGCTAAAAACCGGGTTTCGATACCAGTGGTGGGAAGAGCACAGATAGACCATTGTGTAGCTTTGTGCTTACTTCTAAACAAACAAACAAACCACTATTTGTTAGCAATATACCTCAGGTGCCCAAGTTTAAGCCTAGTTTTGAGATTAAGAGTTTTCTACTGTATAATATGTATTAGTAAATTATTCCCCGTTAATACATATTATAAGTTCAAAATTAGTTAATTAACTACATTGACTGAAGTATTTACTAAACAACAGAGAGAAATAATGTGTTGGAGAAATTACATGGGACTATGACTAAATATATAGGGCAATGAATATAATTCACAGAACAATGTAATACACAAATGGATTAACACTATACCTTAGACAATGGATAAAATACACAAGACAATGAAAACTATCCAGGACAATGGATAAAATACACAAGACAATGTTAATACCTTCATCTTTTTCTGTCCTTCCATGGAGCATTTATCGTTTTTGTGTAAACCAACACATCAGTGAGAAAGACATTAATTATTAGTTTGCTTAAGCAATTTAATTCACTAAGAATCATACATTTTGATTTTTTAATGAACATCTTAATTATGTTTTGCTGCTTATCCCCACTTTTTTCTTGGTGTTGGTGATATGCTATTTTATATTTCATCAATTCGTAACTTATATATTTCATTAACTGTAAAATAAAATTATAAACAATAAAAACCACAGGACTGAATGTTTTTGGGATGTTTCGAATCATTTCGAAAAACTCCATAAACATATTTTCTGCATTTCTATGATTGTAATATTAACCGAAGACAGATTTTTATAGAAAACTTTCTACTACGGTTTTCACAAAGTTGCCGTAAGCTTCAATCAGAATTTTTAGTAGCTGTTTATTAAATATAACGATAGTTCTATTTTGCAAACAATATATTTTAAAACATCGAACAGAACTAAATTTTCCCCGTCAGAGGGCACTACTTGTGTGCTCAAAACTTCCTTTAAAAAAAAATCTGCTGCAAGAGGTTCGGCCAAGAGGAATACTTTGAAGACCCATGTATCATAAAGTAACGCTTCTATATCCACTGGTCGCTTCCACAGACACGTATTGCAACAAAAGACAGGAGAATCCAAACAGAAAACAATCCTCCGACGACTTCCAAGTTCGACCCGAAATCCTTGTTCTCCTCCACCCATTCCACCGCCATAGAAAACTCGGACTCCGACGAAGACTATGACCAGTCATTCCTTGTATTTACACCCGTCAGTCTTATTTCAAAAACATTCTATTATACTCGATTTTACTAAACCCTATGTTTGTAATTTCCTTTCAGCTTCTACCGGGCACGGTCAGGGCAATCTCTTTCAGCGCCCCAGCCGTGAAGGTGGGTTTTCTCGGGGTATTCCCGTTTCCCCCCACAGCCAAATTTTTCTGAGCATAGAATTCATAGATCCCAGCCCTGAGAAGGGACCACAATAAATCAATAAGATACTAAACTTCAAATTCTAGTTAGAAAATATATATAATCAATCAGTTTGTTTAATCAAATAATTGATTATTATGTTCAATTCTCCTTAAGCGTGTTGGCTCAAAAAATTAGTTTCAAGCTTTCACTTTTCATTTCTAAAACTATAAGATTCACCGATGTTTCTTTTCAGATCACACTTATCCTGGAACTGGATGCTCTCGTCACAGCGTTGATCCGCGTCACGTCTCCTTCCTTCTCTAGGATTCCAGTTTCTGCGTCACCAGATTCACGGCTTTCCATGACGTTTTGAGCTTCCGATTACTCACGATAAATTCTCTTATCCACAAACCACGTGTTAATTATCTTATCACTCCACTCATAAAGTAACCCAAATTGAATAACACTCTACCTCGGTAGTAAAAATTTTGCAGCCACTATATAACATAACCTAAATTTTGCGTTCGGGGCGAAGAGAAACAATTGTTTGAAAGCGCCCATGATTGTCTTTCAGGCTTTTTCGAGACTTGTAAGATTTAAAATGAAAATAACCGTCAAAAATTGGACTGGATTGGAGCTTCAGCCCTGGAGGTCAAGTTTGGTAGATAAAAACAAAGGGATTTTGGAAAATTGAATTTTTCCAAAAAAAGAAGCAAAAAAAAAAACTCAAATATTTCAAGTTTAACACCAAAAATATATAAGAATTCGTTGCAGGTTTACGTTTTATCTTATATCCAAGGTTTTTGTTTTATTCAGAGATCCTACTGAAACTGCATACAGACAGTCCTCGTGGAGGTTTGCGCGAAATTCCAAACAAGCAAATAAAACAACTTTCATTGGGTCCCAATGAAGGTCTTTAAATGAAACATTTACTGTTTAATTTTTTTTTCACTTAGTTGTATCCGTATTTATAATTGGTTTTAGCATGTTCACTATATTCCTATTACAGCTTAAGTTTCTTTTATCTTCTAAAGACAATCTTTCTCGCTCTTTAATCTTCCTTTACCAATCCCCTTTTATTCTTTAGTAGCCAGTATCGTAGCGAAGGGGGGGGGGGTGAAAAAAATAGAAAACTTTAATAACAACACAATAATTGAAATTTAGCCGAAAATGTGGGACAAATGTTGGACTTGGAATGTTGCTGTGAAGGATACACCATAACATACAGGATATGAGGTAAAGATAAATTAAAAGACAAACCCGTTTGTAGCCTGATATGAGGAGGAGAATCAGAAGTGTCAAATGCTCATATGAGCAGATTTAACCTTGTACTCTGTTCTTCTTTCCATATCTACCGTCGTTGCTATAGGATCGTAACTACGTAACATGTTTTGTTGATTAACAGGTTTTATTGTCAGGAGCAGCAAACAGCTGGAGAGGGGGGGGGGGAAGAAGGGTAAGGGAAAAGTTTATGTTTTTTGTAGATTTGAAAGTTGCTTAGGGCTAGAGAAAACCTCGTTAACTATGATATAGAAAAACGAAAAAGGGTCATTTTGATGTACCTTCTGTAAACCTCCAGGAAGTTTAGAAACATTCAACCCGTTCTAGGCACTTAACCGGTTGGTACCTGACTGGATGTTTTAACTGTATACGTGGTATTGCAATAACAAGTGAAAAAATTAATAATACCATACTGTAACTTATAAATACAAACTTTGGCCCAAATATTTTATTTTTTTATCATATTAGCTAATTTGTTATTAATACTGAATTTAGTCCACAAATATGTTTATTACTTCTAAACTTGGTTCACAAGTGTATTCTCATTGTTTAACAAATTAACTATTTTTATAACTTATAAACTATGAATACGGCTAAATAAGGTATAATTTCTTGGTTTCATGAATTTTATTTGTTAATGAAAATTATCAAATTATATTTCAAGTCCCCCAATGGGACAGCGGAAAATCTATGGATTTATAACGCTAAAACCAGGTGTTCGATTCCACTCAGCGGACACAGTAAATAGCCCGATGTGGTTTTGTTATATATATTAATTGAACTTATTTGAGCTTCTGTTAAAAATACATGATTTTTGTTACAGCTTCAGAAACAGTTTTTTTTTTAAATATATTGATTATAGTTTAGGAATAAAATTCTAATACTGGGCTACGAAATAAAAATAAAACTTAATTATTCCAAATAACCGAAAAAAATGTGATAATCAGTAAAATATAACAGCTATTTCGTGCATATCTATTCGAGGGTAGGTTGGTCCTGTAGTAAAGCTCTAGATTTCGGAGCTGAGGAGTCAACCAGCTTCAAGTCTGCACGATACCACAAAATATTTCTAACACTTAAAGTTCTGGATGCGTTATAAGAGTGACAGCCAAACCATTAGTGTGTGTTGCTGACTGGCTGCTTTTTCTATGGTCAGTAGTTCAAAATTATGGACGACGGCAGATAGTCTTAGTTTCTCTGCAAAACATACTTATTTTATACTGCGAGAGTGTTTAGCATTCAGAGATGATAATCTCTGTCATTGAGCTTTAAACGTTCTCTCATCTGTGATGCGATATATACTAAAGGCTCCCAAGCCTTTTTGACTAGAGTATCCCTAAAGTGACCCTCGTCCATTCGAGTTCCCCCACCTCTGTACTGTTGCGACTAGACCTAATAATTAGTCACGTGTCTGTGCACTCACACCATTATCTTTGTTTTTGCTTCAACTCATTACTAAATTTAATTTCCATACAGGAAACATCGCAATATAAATGCGTTGTACTGAATTCAAGAAAACAAGCAAATCAAGACATGGCTAAAAAGACAAACCAACCACAGTGGAATCATGCCGGGCTGTAAACTTAGCTACTTTATCTTACAAATATAGTTTTTTTAGTTACTAATTTTATTTTATTTCTAAACTTTTTTTTATTATCACTAGAAGTAGCTGGTGCACTCTTTCTAGGATGTTTGTGTACCATGGATATCATTAGTGGGAATCAATGATATATACAGCCCCCCCCCGACTGATATTTATATGTTAACACTTCAATCTTTGCTTGCCCATTACTGTTTCTAGTAAAAAATTACATGAATGATATTTCAGCCATGCTTAGGTTGTTGTAGATCGCTGCCAACGAGACTTTCTGCTCGCACAACAGGGGCGTAGGCTGAAATCCATAAAGGATGAGAAATCAAATTATGGTATCTGAGGCTATTTTTAACCTTTTAAATATAATTTATACACATTTGGGTTCATTTAAGTGTTTTATAGTTAAAAGAAGTTTTCTAATGACCATGAACTAACACCAAAGGTCAGAAATAAAAACAGATAATAGATTAAAGAAGTTTAAATACACTTTCTAGCCCGTTAAGATTTTGTTGACTTATAAGTGGAATCGTGGAACTTAATACCGTGTGAGATCATAAAAAGATTTCCATCACAAGTGAGATAATTTTGGAAATATATATGATTTTATAGATATTATATTTTCCCTGATATATCGATAAAGTGGATTTGCTTGTCTAAGTGTGTCAATGACATGCGCAGTGTAAATACACTTTTGCCTGTTCTGAGTGGTTTTTCTAGAAAATTAGGTTTCTAAATGCCACAATCAACCGACATGTTAAGTTCAGGGTTGTTTATCTGATCCTTTTTTTTGCATGGTCTTGTGACACGTGAAAAGAAAAAAGAAAGACAACATAATGAATGGAAAACGAAAAATTAACCACATCGGTTGCTATAACGGTAAGTTCTACCTGTGGTAATGAATATTCACCTCAAGGTCTTTATTTACTTGTGTTTATACACCTTCATGGCCTCAAACCAGGAAACCGTGATCCTTAGAGATTATGCAGCCTACATTTTAAAGAAGGTAACTATCAGGTTGTTGTTCCAGATGCCACAGACGAAGTATTTGAACGTTTTTACGCTTTTTTTTTCTCATCTAGAATATGAAAGTTAAACATTGGCATGCGTCACCTATGGTGTACTTGCGCGAAATGCGATTTAATTTTATGTTCACATTTTTAACAACTGAAAACATTTCGGCAGTCATCGAGTTTAGCGTGCTAGACTATTGACCCGAGGACCATGGTTTGCGTCCTGTTGGTGCAACGTCGTGATTCGCACTTCAAAGGAATGGGTGCGTTATAAAAGTGTCAGTTATATCCAACTGTTCGATCAGAATAACCCAAAAATTAGTGGTGGGTACTGTTTGAAGCTTCTTTCTCTCTAGTCTATTAGTTTAAAATTAGAGACGACTAGTGCGGATATCTCTTTGCACGAATAATTGAAACAAACATAAGTCTATCTTATTTTTATTTATACTAATGTTATATCGTCATTTTATCACGGCATGAAATCATACAGTCTATCCGCCTGTTCAACTATAAAAAAAAAATATGTCAAAAGGTATCATATGCAGAAGAATGATTTAGTTTATACCAGATGGAGCAATGGCAGATAGCTTTTCAATACTCTCCAAGCATTAGCAAATAGTTTGAAAACAAGTACTGCTAACGATAACCAAACGATCCTAGTGACAATAAAAACATGTTTCATAGCATGATACAGTAAAGCGTTAAATGTTCCAAGAATGTTGTTTGTTTTGACAGAATCTTCTCTTATGTAGTTGTTTTTATCTTCTCGGAATAATAATTAAAATAATATCATTTTGTTTCTGCAGGACCTGTTGTTGCGTATAATTGCGTTTATCTTCTTAGATTTGGCTTGTTTGGAAATTCGCGCAAAGCTAAACGAGGGCTATCTGCGCTTGCCGTCCCTAA